ATATTGATAAATATATTAACCTAAATTTATTGTTTGCTTGTTTTTTTTTACTAAAAAAACTAAATTGAAAAATCAAATAAATTGAGTTTTTCGAAGACAATAAATTGAGTGTTTTGAAAAAACTGAGTTGTCTTCAAAAAAACTCAATTTATTTGATGTTTCAATTTAGTTTTACATCAAAAAAACAAGAAAACAATAAATTTAGGTTAATATATTTATCAATATGTTGGTTTTTTCAATGAATAATACACACGATGAATCATACATCTTGTGTTTTGGCTCACATTTGTTCCAATATCTTATTTCGTCTTTGCACAAGCTAATTCATGTGTCTATAAATTAAAATTGCAACGTTTTCACACCATATTATAAGACAAAATTTATTTGTTTCGTTAATTCAGTTTCACAGTTTCGTTAATTGAGTTTCACAGTAAAAAAACGAGAAAACAATAAATTCAGATTTTTAGGTATAACATTAAGTAATATTAACAGTAAAGTTATCTTTGACTTATCATAAAGTTACTTTTTCTGGAAGATATTTAAATTTTTATTTCACTCGTCCCCAATTGCACAAAAAATATCATCATAGATATAATTGATAGAGCGTTGCTTTTTATCGCATCTTTTATTCTAATTCAAAACCTTACATTTTATAATAGGTTTATTATTATTAAATAATTATCTCCTACAGCTAAGTTTTAAAGTGATGAGAAAGAATCAAAGTTTTAATTAATAATAAATAAACTCATTTCATCTGGCAATTATAACAAAATGAAATTGGTGAAACCGGAATTTAGTTTAAATTATTTTGTCATCTCTTATAATAAACTTTTGCACGCAGTATCTTCGTTGATTGAAAAAAAAATCATTGATTTATATAGAAGTTTGAATGAATCAAATAAATTTATCAATATTCTAAAAGTTTTTTGGATCTTGATTAAAATAAAAATGTACTTTATCAAATTGATTGTAGGAATTGTTACGTTATGTATATGTTGGTTAAACAAAAACAGGGAGTTAAAAACTATAAAAATGAAACATACGAATCAGATCAATAGAAAAATCAAAAATGAATCTCGCTGGTTACTGAACATAAAATTAATGCAGGACATAATTTCGATTAATAAAGTGGAAAACTTTTAGACACTGGCATTTTTTATTTTAAGAAATGAGTTTTTGAGATGCTTCGTATTAAATTACAAGAAAATTCGATCAATATTATGTCTGATACACACACAGACAAGTTCATATGTTCCTTTAGTAAAAAAAATTTAAAGCTACACAATAATTGCCGCACTAGTAAACTTTTTTTGTTATT